ACATCTTCTCATATCCTATTGGCCAGAACTTAGTTGCAAGTACACACCAAGCTGCAAGGGAGGTTAAGGTAGATTGTATTATTTTCCTGCAATTCTCCCTCCATTCTCCTCTTTTGGCACTTCTTCAAGGTGAAGAATACTTCCTCACCCTATTGGTTTTGGGTTTTGGCCAGTGAAATGTGGACAGCAGTGATAGTATGCCAGCTGTGAGGTGACCCTTAAGAGGCCTGTGTTTCTGCTTGCCCTGCCCCACTGACACCACTGCCACCCTCCATGATAAGGGCCTTCACTAAGTTCAGAGCATGAGAGATAAATGGCACAGCCCTAAATTGGTTCAGAGCCTGAAGGAGAGCAATTTTGGTATTTGCTTGCTATGAGCTCAGTCTTAACTGAGGAGTTAGTTTTGCTGTTAAAGAAAGAAGGAATGAACATTTTTGGACTCAAAACATTTTGTAGGTATGAGAGTAGCCCTTTCACCTGCAGGGGACCCTTTAGAAGTTCAGAGCACAGCCTCACCAGCTGAGATGCATGACAATAACATAAAAAGTACACTCTTCTAGGACTCTGTCATGAGTGTGGGGATGGAGATGGCTTGGCTGTCCTGAGGTCAGCCAGGAGACTGAGAGCAGACCAGGAGCACCTATGCCTGGAGGCCATGAGAATGAAGGGCAGGCTGAGAGTGGGAAGAACCATGGTAGTGGAAAGCTGGCTCAAAACAAAACAACAAAAAAAAACAAAACAAAAACAAAAAACAAAAAAACCTAACCCTGGTACATTAACAAAACATGTTGGGGAAGTTTTTCCAGTGAGTGAAGAGGTGGTGCTAATAATAGAAGCCTGAAATAGCTATACACTTTAGTATATTAAATTGTTAATCCATGTTTGTTGCCAATATAGCTATAGAGATTGATGCTTTCCCAATTTGGGAAATGCATGCAAAAGATAATCAAAGCTTCTACCAGATCTATCAAAATTTACCTCTAGAAAATAATTTCTCCACAGTACATTGGTGTCTCAGTATTTTGGCACTCACTGTCTGTGGGTTGAATACAGCTTTTTAAAGAAACTAGCTCTCTACCTGCTGATGATTCTGCCAACAAGAATTTGGGTGTGAAGAAATGACATCATATTTTTCCTACCTGGAAGATTGCTAGAGACATGCAAAATGTAAAAAGCTTGAGAGCACAGCAATTTGGGTGTGAATATACAATTACAGTGGATGAGATAGTCCTTGATAAAGTAGTGGCTGCTTACACCAAAGTAGTTGAGGAAAATAAGAGTTTAACATCTTTCTTCAAATATGAATACATTCTAAATTTTACTTGATTTTCTTGGTATTTATCTTTCTATTTAAAAATAATTTTCTGTAGTTGTACATGGACAGAATGCCTTTAATTCATTTGTTTATTTTTATGTGGTGCTGAGGATCGAACCCAGTGTCTCACACCTAGGCAAGCTCTCTGTCACTAAGCTACAGCCCCAGCCCATATCTTTCTATTTTTTATTATGAAAAATTTTGAACACTTAACAATGTCAAGAGAATAGAACCACAAATGCCTTCCACTTAGAGTCAATGGTGGTTAATGTTTTACCATATCCTCTCTCCTCTCTCTCTTCACAAACATGTGGCACATACCATTTTGAAAAATAAATTGTCAATATGAAACCATGATCCCTAGATGCTTTAGTACAAATCTCCTCAGAAGAGACAATCTCCTATATGATCACCATACCCCCATCATACTTAAGAAATTTAACAATAATCCTATAATCACAACTGATATCCAAGTGGTATTTAAAATTTTCTAATAGTCCTCTAAAAAATTTATGTGCAATTTCCTACATGATTTGATCAAGGTTCATGAGTTCCATCTGGAGGCTAATCTGAAAAAGCTATCCCATTTTTACTTCTATGTGGTTTTAATTTAGGACATTAACTTTTCAAGAATCTGGGCCAACTTACTGAAAGTTGCACATTCTTGGTTTGTCTGATCATTGCCTGATGTTGTCTTTTAACTTCTAGGTTTAAGCCTGTATTTGCCTTAAAATGAAGTCCAGGTTGGAGCTTCTTCATGAGGTTTGGGGTGAACATTTGTTTGTTAGAATATTACATGGCCATCACATGAGAAGTCTCATATATTTGTTTTTTCCACAAGTAATGCTAAGGGTGACGACTTGGTTGAGAAAGTAACTGCCACGTCTCCATGGGAAAGCACCTTTGCCAGGAAACAGAGACTGAGGTGGAGTTTACATGATAATGCTTCATGGGTGGTATAATCCTGTGTAAGCAAGAAAGGGGAAAAAGAGGAATTGAGGCAGAAAAGAAGGGGGAAATGAGAAATGATCCATTGCCAAGTTGGCCATTGTTTCATAAACAGCATGGCTAGTCACTGGTCATGTGAGACCTCTTTGGAGGTAACTGAGTAGACCATTTCATCTTAGAAAATCTTTCCATGGAGCAGTGGTCACAGGATATTAATGTACCTATTGCTTCTGGGTTGTTACTAGGTGCCTCTGAGCAGCACTGGGAAAGTCATGGTGTTTATGGCTTCTGTTGTGTTGGACTGAACATAGCAGCTGCTGCAGTTTCCATTATGGCAGATAAAATAACAATTTTGCCAAAGGCAGAGTGCCTATCATGGTGGGAATAAGGTGACATTGCTTTTACTCTGGAATCAGGGCAAGTGGGTTCTAAGGGACAGGGAGAGCAAAATGGAAGTAAGGAGTGGGTATAAATTTGATTCAGTACAAAACATTTTTGTCTTTGAAATTACTAAATGATCTGTGAGGTGTACTTTGCCCCTGTAGGAATAACCTGTTGCCTAGCTACTTTTCATTTGATGGTTTTAACACATTGATTATTCTTACTTTGTAACAGTTATTACATTTGGAGATACAAGATATGAGGGCCAATTATGTTTATCACCACTGGGGTGTGTCATCATTGCTTGCAGGCTCTTTAAAGAACACAACTAAATTATATATTTTATTCATACACACATATACATATATATAATTTATATGATGAATTAGCATAAGTTCATATTGCTATTAAATTTAACTAATAGTGTTTTTAAAATTCGTTTTTATAACATTTTCTTTTTATACTGAAAATGTCCTGGTTCCCAACAGCATTATGTATAATCAGAGCATATTCAAGCTACCCCAAATAACTTTTTCTTTCATTGTTGGTTCAGTAATACATTTTATCTTATTTATTTATTTTTTTGTATAGTGCTAGAGATGGAAATCCAGAACCTTACTCATGCTAGGCAATGCTATATATTGAACTGTGTCCCTACTCTGCATGGCTCCAGTGAACAATTTTATATAGAGTTGGGATGAAGTTTGTTTCTTCAAAGGTCCAATTTTAGAGCATTTTACTTTATAATTTACTTTTATTTCTGAATATATAAGATACATGGTTCAAAATCAACACTATAATAAAGCTCAATCAAAGAAACATTGCTCCCATGAATGCCCCTTCAGTCTATCTATAAGGGTAGGTAAAAATTTTCATTAGTTTCTAGTTTCCCCTTTCTTGTATTTCTTTTTGCAAAAATGAGAATATATATATATATATATATATACACACATATACATACATATATATTTAGTTTCTCCTTTCTTTCATAAAATGTGGCATGTCTACTCTGTTGTCTTGCTTTTTTCTCCTCATAAAATATTTCAAAGAACCATTGAATATTAGTTCACCAATACCTTAAATGCTAAAATTCATTAATGTGTGTGTGTGTGTGTGTGTGTGTGTGTGTAGAGTGTGTGTAAAATGTATGTCACAGTAGACTATGCAAAGACAGAGTTAAAAAAAAACTCAGTGGCTTTACAGATAAAGGTTGTTTTGCTCACATAAAGCCCTTTATGGATCAGGCAACCCTCCTTTGTCTTGTAGCTTCATTCCATAGAATAGGTGTCCTCTGTAGCAGCCTATTAGGCAAAATCCACTTACATGAACCCAGACTAAAAAGGGAAGTTGGAAATTTGATCTCCTGTTCATAAAGAAAAAACTGAAAAATGTAATTTGGTGAGTAGTAGCATTGTCTCTGATACTAGGCTTTACATTAATTATATCAAACTCCACAACAGCTCTGTAAATAAGTTAGCTACTTTCATTATTCCAATTTTATAGCTAAGAACATATATGTCTTTCAAAGTCATGTGTGTTCCTGTGTGTCAGGAGTCATATCATATCCAGAGGTATCTGCTTCTAAAGCCTGCATTTGTTTCAAATTCTATGGCCACATGGTATTGCCTACCAACAAAGCATGGCAAATCTACTTCATCCATCCATAAATGTAAGATCTCCAACATTGGAGATTAGAGAAATTTATACAAAAAATAAATGTTGAGACTTAAGATTCATATTATGCTGTGTTTCCTAAACATAAAAAAGAAAAATATAAAATTTAAATAAGTGATCATGATGTAGTTCAAGAGTAGAGTGCTTACTAGATTGTGAGCCCCTGGTTTCATCCTCAGTACCGCCAAAATAAATAGATAAACAAAGCACTAGTTGGATGTGGTGGTACACACTTGTAATACTATTTTTTTGGAGACTGAGGCAGGTGAATTTGAAGTTCAAGACCAGCCTGAGCAACTTAGTGAGACCCTGTCTCAAAATCAAAATGATACATAACTGGAAACTCTGATTTAAATGAGACATTTAACAGTTTTCAAAAATAATGCCCTGCAAGTCTCAACATCACAGTAACAACTTCAAACATTTTGGACTGATTATCTAGTTTATAAATATTGGTAACCAGTGTATAGAGCCACACACAGACACTCTGATCTCCTAACATAACCCATCTCCCCACCTATCCTACTCTATGCTCCTGTACCCAAAATGCTAGCATTATCTAGGTTGATGACCTATACGTTGCAAGCAACTGTTGAAAACTCCTGAGCTACTGCTTATTACTTTAGATTGCAAATCACAACAACATGTAGAGATTTTTATTTATTTTCTCTTTGTTCCACAGCTCCTATAGGAAAAAGAGACTCAGTGCTTGGAGAAGGCACTGTCATTGGGAAATAGTGACCAAACTCCAGAGTCTGCTGAGAAATGATGAGGCCCCAGCATTTAAGTGCCATCTTAAAAATGTTGAGATTCAACTTAGCATGCTGTCCTGTCACTGGAATTCCTAGACTTAGCAAAACAAAAACAAAAATCAGGATGCCCAATTAAATTTTAGTTTCAAATAAACCATGAAATAATTTTTAGTATGTTTCATAAAATAACAATTGCTTTTTATCTGAAGTTCAAATTTAAATGAATGTCCTGTATGTTATCTGACAACCCTCTGGGTGGCACAATCTGACCATTTACTTTGAGGGTCTAAACCTAACTGTGGGCACTACTGCTGGGAAGAAGAGGATGTCTGACATAGTCTCCTTTTGCTCTCATTGTTATTGCTGGTTACACACCCTTCATGGTTGGGCAGGGTTTCCTCATACAGCTGGTACCCTTTGAAACAGAATATTGGGTTGATAAGGTGGCCCAAACCCTGCCCCTCCTGTGTCCACTTGACCTTTGAGTTCTCCTAGAACCTTGGCATGCCAACCTTTGGGATACAGACTGTTTCACTGTCATCTTTTACTCAGAGGCTAAAACCCTATTCTGCTGAACAAACCCCAGACTCTCCTGCAGGTTCCTACTCCTACCAGTAATCCTTACTGTGAGGGAGGGCACCTCACAGGCAGGACAGAGAATCACTTCATTTCCCATTCCACTTCTTTAGAACCTATAGCACTAACCTTCCTTCTGCTTCCTCCTTCTTCCAATTGTATACATCCAAAAGACCTTTGTCATTCAGCAAATACTAATTAAGTATATCCCTATTAAGCAAAAGCATCATTGTGGTTCAGGCTCACAAATCCAGTTGTTTAATGGGCATGATTCTCAAAAACATCTCAACTTCATTTCAACATTCCCCACAGAATTCACCATTCCATTCTCCCAACCCTTCTTATACTTGGTTAATTCTATGCTCTTTCTTCCATTATTACCATGTGGTAAATTATGGAGGTTAATGCAAGGAGTGCCCAGTCATGGCTTTCTCAAGGAAGATTTCTGATCCCCAGGCTAGGTCAGGATCTTTCAGGGTAATTCTAGAAGTTTACGATTCTACATTACTTATGTATTCATGAGAGGTAGTAGTGATCCTAGATGCAATGGTTTGGAGCAGATCTTGAATGTGAGCCTTGGTTCTACTATTTACTTGCTATGCAACTTTGAACAAGTTATATGTATTTGTGATTCAGCTTCCTCATTATCAATTGTAGTATCTAAATTATAAGGTCGTTGAAGAAATCAAATGAATTACTGTATATAAACCTATTGGGATTTTCTAAATGGCTGAGAACTAGATTACATGTCACATGAATTTAATTTGGAAGGGCACTTGAAGAATTTTGACTGAGCGTAAAGAAGGTAGTTCTCCAGCGAGAAATCAGGGTAAGATTACAAAAATAAAGTGAAAATGATGTGAAGGAGGTTAAAAAGCAATTGTCCCCTTCATTTTGGCAGCAGGATAGATGTTGGCACCATTCACACAGAACTCAGGAAGAAAGGTTTTTGATAGTGAGTGATGAATTTGTTTTCAAATATGCTGCATTTGAGAAAGTTGCCTGAAGAGGTTCCTGTGAGTCTGAATCTCAGGGAAAATCATCTTGGCTGGAGATAGAGATATGGGATCTTCAGCATATTGGTTGTAGCTGAAGTCATGACAAGGGTAAAATTGTGGATGGTCAATTAATAGACTAGGATGAAAACTAGACTTCTGGAATATTCAAGTATGCAAGTTAGAAAACCTGGTAAAGATAGAACAGTCAAAATGATAGGACAGGAATATTATCTAGCCTTAAGAAGAAAACAAATTATGATATATATATATGAATTCTGGAAATTGGTTGCATAACAATCTGAATGTACTTGTCACTACTTAACTGTACACCTAAAAATGGTCAAGGTGGTAAATTTTATGTCTTGTGTATTTTACAACAAACATGTTTTTAAAATAATGGGAGAAAACTAGGAGCAATTAATGTCATGAAGTTAAACTAATAGAGAGATTTTAGAGCATAGTGATCTTCAGTGTCCAATGAAGTAGAAAAACCCTGGAAGTTAATAAGCATTGAGATTGGGCACCTACTAAAAACTAGATATTATTATCTCAAGACCCTGAGTCCCTGAGCAGTTCAAGAATACTGACAACTTGATTTATCTTGATTTATCAATTAAAGAAAAGAAGGGCCTATATTGGCTTTGTTTCTTACCATTATGGTTGGATCCAGGTCCTAGAAATGCAACTCCAAGTGACAGTATGCCACCCCTGATGCAGCATAAAGGCAGCAGGAGACCTTGGGCTACTTCTAAGTCTATGGATTAGTGTCTGAAAGCCACATACTTTTGTCATATTCAGGCAATATGTGATTTACCTCATACAAACATGAGGTTAGATTTGAGACAAATCAGGGCTGAATGTTTTGTAAGTATTTGACATTCCCAACAGCTGTGTGAAATAGTTCCTCTTTTGAAAATCTTCATTTTATAGATGAGGAAATGGAGGTTTGGGTCTTATGGCATGTCAGTGGTGAAATAAAGACCAGAACTCATGTCTTTGAGTCCAGCTTGATGAGAGAGACTCTACCAGAGAACACCAGACAATTTAGGTGATTTGAGTCTTCCCTTGACCATAACTTTCTGAACTACGCTTCACCCTCTCCCTTCATCCTGGCTAGAGAGATAAATCAAGGAGAGGTTCAAAATGTCTCTTCCCTAAACTGTATCGTCTGGCAAATTGAACCAAGGATGAAAAATTAAGAAGCATGTAGATACTTAGAATGTCTCCTTTATTGCCAGTCCCCTACTGGTCCACACACCCCTGGCCCCCATGCCAAAAAGATCCCTGTACTCTTTAATTACCTTAAGTTTTTCCCAAAGAAAAATTTTGACTTTCTGTCAAAGCATATTTGTGTGTTATAGTGTGGCCAAGTTAGTTCATGCCCTCAATAATTAGGACCTTTGGGCTGGGGATGTGGCTCAAGCAGTAGTACGCTCGCCTGGCATGCGTGCAGCCTGGGTTCAATCCTCAGCACCACATACAAAGATGTTGTGTCCATCGAAAGCTAAAAAATAAATATTAAAAAATTCTCTCTCGACGAGTGGGGGGAGAGAAAGGGAGAGAGAAGGGAAATCATATGGAAATGGTAGGAGACCCTCAATGTTACACAAAATTACATAAGAGGTTGTGAGGGGAAAGGGGGAGGGGAAACAAGAGAGAGAATTGAACAACAGCAGATGAGGTAGAGAGGGAATATGAAGTAGAGAGGGATTTAAAAATAAAACAACAGCAGATGAGGTAGAGAGGGAAGACGGGAGGGGAGGGGAGGGGGGATAGTAGGGGATAGGAAAGGTAGCAGAATACAACAGTCACTAATATGCCATTATGTAAAAATGTGAATGTGTAACCAATGTGATTTTGCAATTAGTATTTGGGGTAAAAATGGGAGTTCATAACCCACTTGAGTCAAATGTATGAAAGATGATATGTCATGAGCTTTGTAATGTTCTGAACAACCAATAAAAATATAAAATAAATCATGAGAGACTACCAAAAAAAATTCTCTCTCTCTTAAAAAAAAATAATTAGGACCTTTGAACATGTCTCCTCCCCCATCATAAAATCATTTATTGTTTGAAACTGCTTACAAATGAATTATGTGACATGCTTATGAGCTTCTCTGCCTTCCTTCAGTTCAGGAAGTTTCCTAAACCTTTGGCTTAAGGCAAGGATAAATTTGACCTCTTGATTGAGGCTTCTCCAAATATCCCAATACCCAGGTCCTCAGCTCTGGGTTGTGAGTTCTGGGTCCTTGCAGGCCCTCCTCTGAGGTAGTGTTGTGAGGTTGTCGACACATCTGCTTTTCCAATGGGCTGTGAGTAGCACACACTGATACCCTACTGCCCAGTGTCCACCATGTGGGCCTAGTGTCAGAACATGAAGCAGTCTTGCTGCAGTTGGACTAGGGTATACGTTGGGGTGGATGTTGTAATGTACAGACTATGGTCCTTAGTCCCTCCATTTACTTTCAACAACCTTTTTCAGTAATAGACCTTCTTCCCTCTGACTTCCAAGACTCAGCAAATCATGCTGCCCAGGTCACAATTCTGAGACTTTTTCTCTCTTCATTAACACTTACCTAGACCGTTCTGCCAGGGCCATCTGGGTCTTCCAAAGTGGCATTAAACAAACACAAAAACACAAACATTTAGTCATTGCTAATGTATAAACGGTTAAATTTATTGGGATAAATTTAAAATCCTGTATTAAAATCGAACAGCTTTTTATCAAACTCTACTAGTATGCTAATATTGGTAGGGGCACAAAGGATTAAGACACAAGTTTCTGCATTTAAGAGCGATACTGGAAGACAAACTTTAAATACATGAAAGCCACTTAAAAATAGAGACTATTAAAGAGTTTAAAATAATTAGTAAAAGTTCATGTAATGATACTGTTTCCTCATCTGTGGAATGACAGAGGATTTGACCAGATTTTCTTCAAATATCCTTATTTGTTCCAAATAAATGACCAAATAGACCTTTCAAATTTTATATAACATGTTATTTACTATGTGCTAGACATTATTCTTAGTAACTCCGCCAATTTTCACAATTCCATGCAGTGGCTATTATGAATTTCCCATTTGGAGAAATGGGCAGAGGTTAAAAATTTGCTCAGGTACACACAGTATTGTAGTGCAGCTGGCATTTGAACCATGCAGCAGGCTCTCGAATGTGCTCTTAACCACCATAGCATCTCTGTGAAGGCCTAAATTCATGTTTTCCTATACTTTTTAAGTGGGAAAACTAATTTTTTTCTATTTTGTATTATGTCACAAACTTGGTCCTCTTACTTCAAACTGGTATAATTTACAATAGTTTCTACCATCTTCTTGGCTGCATCTCCTCTTTAGGGATTTTCTTTTTCTTTACTAGAATCAATACATTTCACTCAGATAGTTCTGTCTCATCCAAGGCATCATAGTCCTTCTCTCCAAAACTTACAAGGGTTAAGCCTTTGCCATTTTGTAACTCTTTGCTACCCTTCTCTTAATTTTGATTTCACACCCCCACCATCACCCCAAGGATTTCTGGTTTCTCTAAAAACTGAGTTTCTTCCATGGCTGCTCAAACTTTCACTTGAATTCTCTCCAGGTACTGCTGTAGGTGGTGAAAACTGAGGGATACAGAGACCAGGGATGGCTGTATGCAATGAATTTTAATATAAGGAAAGGAAAATTTGGTCCTGTGTACTGAGGTTTTAAGAAGAGAGTAGCATTTGAGCAAATACAGTCTGAAGTCTTTTGTGAGTTGGGCAGAGGTGGCACTCCAGGCTAATGGAGGGGAGATGAGTCTGAGGTCTCCATGTCCCATGTCCCTCAAGTCAATCATCCCTCTTGATCTCTTCCCAGAAATGAACTGTGTGTGATGTTCCAGATTTTTTTTTTTTTGTACTAGGGTTTGAACCCAGTGGTACTTAACTATTGAGTCACATCCTCAGCCTCTTTGATTTATTATTTTGAGACAGGGTCTTGCTAAGTTGCTTAGGCTGGCTTTGAACTTGTGATCCTCCTGCCTCAGCCTTCCATGCTACTGGGATTACATACCTGGCTGGTGTTCCAGATCTTGACAAAGTCCAGAAAAATCTAAATCAAGACAATCTGTTTCTCTACATTGTGGACTGCAATCATTTTATAGATTACATCCATTTCTCTGCTAAAATTCCATTTGTTTTTCATCCACTCAAGAAGACATATCAGAATGCAAGCAACTGAGCTTAATAGGCCCACAAAATGACTTTGATTTATTTTGCAGGCTTAATCATCTGAAAAGGCCAGTTCTTTAATTGTTGTAATTGTTTTCTCCAATGTACTTTTCAACTACTCTTCCAGGAGGAGTTGCCTCAGATAGAAGGTGAAGGATCTGGTCAGGGTATATGATGGGTCTCTGGAGACAGAACCCAAATCCAAGCTCCCGACAACAGATCGCAGATTAGAATCTAAAAAGTATAAACATTTTCTGAGCTTGGTTATATTTGAAGGGTTTATGTCTCCTAAACCAAGAGTGCCTCTTTTCTCTGGTTCCCTTCAAAGCACTGCTGATGAGATATTCCTGATTAATTTTACACCCCTCTAAACATTTCTTTACATCAGCACTTCTGAACTGACTTTGGTTCCCTATTTCTTTATTAATTCTTCAGAATGATTTTCCTTTTCAGTGACCTGCAATGTCCCAAAGGCAAAAAACAGGTCCATTTCTGAGGTGTTCCATGCACCCTCCTTCCCCACACAAGAGGCGCATATAGGAAAATTCAGTTGCCCGGCATCAGGAGGTTTCAAATATTCACTTGTTATTTGTTGAATAACCTCCACTGATAAAGCTGTTCTAAAAAAAACACAGCAATTGGCAAATGCTACTGGTATAAATGTAAATTCAGATAAATGGAAGAACCTGGTGATAGCCTGAATTTACATTGTCAAAGAAAGATGTTTAAGAACAAACTGGTTTTCTCTATGACATAATCAGGAACCCTGGGAAAAGAAAGGGCCAGATAAGAAACAGGAGCAGCTTCCTTAGGGAAAGGATGCTTAGACACTTCTCTGCTTACAAATGGAGACAGCACTTAGAGTGCACCCCATGAAAGCTCAATACACCGGTACCCTGGCACTTCTGATTGCTATCTGTGAATTTCTAAACGCTACTGATATTTACGTAGTTCTTTCCAGTTTTTAAAGGGGTTCCCACACCAGGGCTTCATTTGATTCTTATGAATACTTTGCTGGGGTAAAGGACAGGTCTCATTATTCTTGCTGTAGAAGGGAAACCAAATCTCTGGAGCCCACAGAAATCAGAGGAACCAGGATCTGAGCCTGTAAGTAAATATTCATTGAATTGAACCAATATAGAAATATGAGTATTTTAAGGTAAACAGAATGTCTGCCCTTAAAAAGCTCATAATATAGTTGGGAAGAAATGCCCAAATTAAAAATAACAGTGTGAGGATTAAATAAGGCAAGACCAAACACAAAACAGTAAATGCATCCTTTATTGTGAAATAAACTAAGAAAATGCCTTGATATTTCGGTGTACTTATATAACTTTCATCTCTTTATTGAACTGAAATTTCCAAGTATTCTCCACTGTCCCCTACTCCTAACCCAAGTTGCAGCTTAGTATTCTGGGTTTTATGTAGATTCACTGCATCTATTGTCTTCAGTTTGATACCTTAGCTATGGATATCTGGGTTTGTCACACTTCTTCAGTTCTATGTTTGCAGAACACAGGAGCTCCTGGTCAAAAAGAAGCAAAAAAATTGAGGCATAAAGGAAGGAATCTCAGGAAAAAAATAACTGACCAGGCCAATGGAGAGAGTAAATAAGAAATCAGAACATGCCCAAGGTCAGGACTGTCTCTTCCTGATACTCAGAAGAAACATAAGTCTAATAATTATGTGCATGCTAATAGAGCCTTTAAAATTGGTATTTCCCCAAATCTAGAATGGCACTAGCACTACCAATTCCCCTAAATGCCTCCTCCTTCATCTGAGGGATTGTATAGCCTTCCACATAGAGACTGTCTCCCTATTCACTTCAATCAGGGCTATCCATTGGCAAAAACAGATTCATAGCAGAGAGAACCTCACCCACGGGCTCATCAATAGATGAATGAGGATAGGAAGAACATGGCTGCCAGCGAAGAGGCAGCACATACAATGCCTCCGTGGTAAGGGGATCAGAGAGACTCATTAATACACCCACATGCGTCCTGCTGGGAAACTTCAAGCAAATTTCCTCTGAAAGGAGACCTTCCTGGAACTAGTAAGTTTAATAGGAGGTGTCAGATTGTCACAAAATACTTAATCTCGGCAACCCAGAGCAGGGGCACAGTCCCGCCGGGGGCCGCCGAATGGCCGCTGCCTACACATTGCAGTGAGCATAGGAGCGGACACTAACCGCCTGGACCCCTGCGGGCGGGCTCTGTGAACC